AAATTACGAAACTTAATTTGGGCAGTATGACAACTTGCAAAAACAGCGGTACTGTCTTAAAAACGCAGCACTTACATATAATCAAAGCATTTAAAACGTCCAGGCAAACTTCAAGAGACATGCTCCTAAATCCTAGTAATAGCAGTGAATTCTTCGCCACAACACTTATACAAAAGCTGAAAAACAAATGTTTATGGCACACAGTCGTAGGTAAGTCGGAGAACCCTCAACATAAGGCAGAATGCCACTGCGTGTAAACCAGTCGATACGCCTGCTCTGGAATTCTGAGTCACGCAAAGCTCACCGAACTTCTCCCTCTATTAAAACAAAGCATAGTCTAGGATTGCAGCCAATAGTGTCTCAACAGCGTTGCCGTATTCTGAGGGCGACCCGTTTTGTTCTCTCGTAGGTGTTGCCCTCACAATTTCAGGTAGACGAGAGGCCGGCATCCGGATCAGTAATGAGACACAGCCAACAGAGCCTTAACAAATCGTCAAGTCATGTTCTATGGCAGTGGAGGGAGGCAAGGTGATTAGGAGTGGCAGAAAGTGGACCCACCTCAGTCGCAGGATGCAGTTCCTGCATTTCCACTGCCTCCTTGGCAGCTGCTGGCTGCTCTGAAATCAGGCTGTGCATCCACGATTCACGGCGCTCATTCAGACTGGTCAGGGTACTGTGCAGGCCGTCGAGAATTGCGCGCATCTGCTCCACAGCATATTGACTCACACTGTCCGTCTACAGGGAGAAAGAAGGGCAAACGTGGGCTTTAGGAGGACATAACAACTCACATTAGTCCAGGCCAAGTGACAGATGACCGGCCCGGTCAAAATCATCAGGCACTGTTACCGTGCAATGTTTCCGCATACACACAGCAGGAGACCTATCTGATGCAAATGCGGAAATTTGCGAATGATTGACAATCACTCGCAAACGGGCATTAACGCAAGTACGAAAACCTTGAAATAATAATTAATGGCGAATTTAAAACTTAAAGGAAATATATAAAAAGGACTAATACTTAATTTAGAAATACGGACTTTTTTAAAGAAACTTCAAATTCCGAAAACGTGAAAGTTGCTGTAACTGTGACACGAAAACTCATTGCCGAGATTAATAAACGTCAACAACAGCAGTCCGATATTACCATGCATAGGATCAATTGAAAACATTTCATAAGCTACCTACTAATACTAACCCGAATTTCGATCACGGCTTTGCAAGAATTAGGTCAACCACCGTACTAACAAAAGGAGAACAATT